TCTGCATCTGAGTACTGATCTGCGGCATCTGGGTACTAATCTGCATCTGAGTACTGATCTGCTGCATTTGAGTACTGATCTGCTGCATCTGGGTACTGATCTGCTTCATTCATTAAGGTCCACAGCTCTCAGTGTCAGCTGAGCAAATAAAAATAGAAGCCTCACTGATCAATTTGCATATGACCAATAATCAGCCAGGAAATCCTCAGATATGTGAGGCTAAACAGACAGCACAGTCCCACATGTATATGTGAGGTAAACAGAGATAGCACAGCCCTGCATGTATATGTGAGGTAAACAGAGATAGCACAGTCCNATGTGAGGTAAACAGAGATAGCACAGTCCTGCATGTCAGTATTTCCCTGTGTCAGAGCTGCAGGCGTGACATTTGTGATCAGCTGTCCCAGTTTACTCTGTCTCATGGGGGGGTTTCCAGGGCTCTCCTGGTCTCAGTGGGATGCCTGGGCCACCAGGGGTCAAAGGAGAGAAGGTAAGGAGGCCTCTTTGCTCAAGGTTGGTCAGACCCGCACTAAGAGCCAGGTGATGTGTACTATCCAGGAAGTATAGAAGGAACTGGGGACGGTGTCTGTCAAACCTTCACTGTGCTCCCAAACTGCTGGGCGTTGCTGCTGTTAGAGGTAGCGTCCCACACTGGACTTAGGCAATGTTTGTTGTGATATTTGTAAAATGCACCATGTGTCACTCTCACAGGGCGAGCAGGGTGCTGTTGGACAAGCTGGACCAAAGGTACTCCAGCACTCTTACAGAACATGTTTCCGTCTGAGACTCGTGGTTGCATTCCTTCTGCCGAAATACTCCGTTTTGTTCCTCATTTCTCTCAGGGTGAACAAGGCAACCCAGGGGTGGTTGGACCCCCAGGGCCAGTAGGCCCTCAGGGGCCAGTGGGTCTCCCTGGACGTGAGGGGCCCCCCGGGCCCCCGGGGCCCCCAGGACATCCAGCTTGGGTCCCAGTCTCAGACCCAGAGGTAGAGGTCTTCGCGGCCTCGCTTTACCTCCTGTGTCACTTTCATCATCTCTATAACAAAGTGGTTCACTGTGCTTCTGCTTTCAGGACCTGGACGGGTCCGGAACCTCGCCTGTCTTTGCGAGTCACAGAGGCACTCTGGTAGGTTCTACCAGCTGGGCCCCGAGACATTGAAAGTCATCACTTGTGTTCTTCCTATATTTCTTGTTTTTCCCCAATAATGTTTTTGTGGGGCAGTGCAGTGGTTAGCTCCCTGTGACCCTGATTAGGACAAGTGGCTGAGAAAATGGATAGATGGAATATTTTTCTGGGCATATAGAACTAACGTCTGTCATGGGCATGAAGGTGGACTGGTTGGTTCCACTGCAGTGCCTGATTTCCCGTACTGGCCTTGACCACACCTCCATGTCTTCTGCAGGGCGTTCCCGGTCTGCCTGGCCCTCCTGGACCTCAGGTAATAGGCTCTGCTCAGCAGTCATTTGGGGTGTCTGAAAGCACCCCATTGGCTGCTGTCCTGATGCCAGCGTCCCTCTCACCACATAGGGCCAGAACGGAGCTCCCGGGCCTCCCGGCACTGCAGTGAAGGTAACCCCACCCCCCCACCTCTGACACATGCTTCTGATTCACCTCCACCAGAGGGAAAGCTGGACTGTGCCAGTGTCTCCTCACCCCTGTGCCAGTGACTCCTCACCCCTGTGCCAGTGACTCCTCACCCCTGTGCCAGTGACTCCTCACCCCTGTGCCAGTGTCTCCTTACCCC